AAGCATCCGTAATCTTTAAGGTTGTAAATGTGTGATTTTTCATCTTACTGGAATTTATAGAAATTTGTCTCAGGATTATTCGATATTTGATAGAGAAGTTTGGGAAACAATGCGTATTGGTACACAGCTCGCATTCGGATCGTGCAAAAGTATGTCATCGCATACAAATTCTTTAAGTGTAATTTGTTCATGGTCTAGACGTTATAAGCAACCGAAAATTCCTTACCTGGCTCAAGGACCAACACTTTGATTTGGCATTTGTGCACGTCTACCAGACTTGTCCAATAGGACTCGTTGAAATCGGTCGTATTCCAACATGGATATGGCTAAATAGGTAAATTGGGTCATCCAAAATAGTTTTCCAATGTCTTTGTGTAGTTTGAATCAACTATGCTTAAAACTTGACCGGTATTCTGAACTTTAAATGAACCATCACTTGCAAGTAAGGCTAGAGTCTTAAAGTTACGAGCAATACATGTTGAAAAGTAAAATTAACTTATAATAAGCATTGTTGTTTATCATTGAAATAACCGAGGAGAGTGTGTCACTTGTACTATGTCATCAGCTCTCCACAAAGTTGTTTTTCAACAAAAGAAATGCATTTCGCGACATCTATTCTACAATTAATGACATTTTTGGTTAACCATTTGACAATGCTTCTTACTCCATTCCTCAGACAATAATGTTTTTGTTATCAACTTTAGAACGAAATTTGAGCGCTGAGAAATACTACTTTTGCCCTACATACATGCACACTTATCATTAATCCCTATTCAGAATTTCTTCTGCTCAATGATGAATTTTTGCGAAAAGAAGTACCTATGGTTTCTGCAGAGTCAAGTGCTTGCTTTTACGTAGTTTTTGTTGTAAGGCTGTATTTGTAACCCGAGTAGTACCAATCCGAGTTTCGACAGCTTATTATACACAATATATTACTACTCACGCTTACTAATATTAGTACCAAATAACGACGATCGAGTATTTTGAAACGAAAACCACTACTTACTTGAAGTTAATG